ATTTTTATTACCGGTAACATGATCAGACGCACCAGATTCGAGGACCGAAGGACCAAGAGGAGATGATTGAGAGACGCAAACAGATGAATTACCAGTGTGTGCAATCGAAGTCATGGAACCAGAGGTCTGGTTAGTCTGACACCACCTGAGAAAATCCTCGTAGTTTGGTGTAGCTTTCTGAAGAGAAGGTGAAGTCTGCATAGTGTCTGGGTAATCAATTTGAGTTGCATTTACCTGCCGTGGAGGTTTGCCATGCAACTTCCAGCAATGATCAATAGTATGTCCAAGTCGGTTACAATGGTCACACTTAGGACGAGGTTCGGAGTTGGATGACCCTCCTCGAAGGCGATTCTAATTGTTGCCAAGAGATGCAAGAGCAGCAGTGTCACCTGATGTTGGAATAGCAATAGATGGAGGAGAAATCGGGCCAAAGCATGAGGTGTAGTCAAGCGCAACAATTGTTCACTAACTGTATCATAGTTAGGAACAGTAGTACCTGATAAAATCTGGTTACGAACGGATTCGAGTTCTGATGGTAGTCCTTTAAGTGCCATGACCATGAAATATTTACTTTGTTGTTCGGCATGAGCTATTGCATCTTTTGCGTAAGGCATGAGGGTTGCGTAACTTGCTTTCAAGGCATCAAACTTACTCAGATAAGCTTGCACATCCATATTTTCCAACTTCAGTGTGTTGAGTTTGTGGATGACGTTGTATAGAGAATGAACGTCGTTGGAAAAGGCCAAGAGCCTTTGGCCACACCTCATAACAAGTGGAGAATGCTTGGTACTGCGCTTGGAGGTTAAGTGCTATGAAAAACCACAACACAGTACACAAAGAGGCATCAGTTTTCTTCCATTTAGCGAGTTTGACGGCTGCGTCACTCAATTGGGTGGTTAGATGCTCTTCATATCCTTGAAACCACATCTCGACAGCACGAGTCCATATGTTATAGTTGGCTGATCCGGTTAGTGTTTTCACATGGGATAAGCGAAACTTTAGTAAACGAGACAGAATCAGCATCTCCCATGGCTTAAAACACAACAACTGGGGTTGTTTGAACAAGTGTACGACTTTCTGTGAGTCGAAAACAGAAACTGAGGGCGGAACTGCAACCGGCGGAGGAAGGCGATTTTTCGGTAAAAAAATAATTTTCTTGAACAGTACGGCGACGATGAACAGTAACGGCGACAGTGAACAGTGACAGCGGCAGTGAACAGTGGCTCCCGGAAAAAAATTCCTGTGGACAGTGCGGCGGCGGAGGTCGCTGGAAAAAAAGGTGAGGCAAACCGGAATGATGACACGGTTTGCAAAAGAAAATTTCTCACCGGAAGACAGTGGGTCAACCGGGTAAAGCACGGCGAAGAATTGTCTCTTAGAAGGCTCTAGATACCATATTGAATTAGGAGAGATTAAGAGACATTTAGGTTAAATCGTGTGTTTTAAAAGCACTACGGCGACTTTATTATATATAGAGGGATTACAACTAATTACACGATATAATCAATGTGGGACTATTCTACATACAAATATTCTTAACACTATATTTACAAATATCAACAAGTATAATAGAAGTTTATTTTTCAATCAATATTTATAAATTAACATTATCTCTCAGTGTTTTCTTATAGTGAAATCATTATCAGTTTTTATTCTTTCTTTGCATTGTCATTCCTTCCTCTTATATCTTGATAGTGTAGAAATTGTGTAGTATTTCTTATTGAGTTTGTACATAATAGAATAGGATATAAATAGCTTAGGGAGTACAAATAACTATAGAAACTAATTAAATCCTAATTAACTCAAATTAATTTCTATTTACAAGGAAAATATTCTATATGATTGTATAAATAAGTATAAATGTATTCATATAATATAACTATAAAATATGTATTGATATCCCTTACTAATGGCTGCATAACTGTGCCTTAAAGGCTGCAGATCAACAACCACTCCGCCTCAAGTTGGGCCATAGATGTCTATCATGCCCAACTTGAATCTTAAGTTTTCATAGTTGGCTCTAGGAAGTGTCTTGGTCAAGATATCAGTTGTTTGACGACTTTAGGGTGTGTTGAAGAGAACTTAATCCATTGTCAATCTTCTCCTTGATGAAATGTCTACCAATGTTTATGGCAACTTTGTTGTCACACAATAGACTTACTTCATGGTAAGTATGAACTCGTAGTTCCGCAAGTATCCTTTAGAGCCACATCCCTTCGCAAATCTCATGATATATTGACCTAAATTCTGCTTCAGCACTGTTTCTTGCAACCTCGGATTATTTCTTGCTTCTCCATGTCACTAAGTTTCCCCATACAAATGAGCAATACCCATTGGTTGATCTTCTATCAGTTGCTTAGCTAACCCAATTTGCATCTGGGAATATTTCTATTTTCCTGCTTGTGACCTTTTTGAAATGCAGCCCCTTCCCTGGTGCCTTTTTGAGATATTGTAGAATACGGATAACTGCTTTCATGTGAGTCTCTTTTGGATCGTTGATGTAACGGCTAACCATGCTGACAGAAAAACCAATATTTGGTCATGTATGGGTTAGGTAGATAAGTCTCCCAACCATTCTTTGATACATCTCTTTATCAGTTAGTGGACTCTCTTTTTCCTCTCCTATTTTCACATTAGATTCCATAGGAGTGTTTGCTGGCCGACATCGTTTCTTGAAGTCAAGAGTATATTTCCTTTGAGACAAATAAATTCCAAATTTTGGTCGTGCCACTTCCATTCCAAGAAAATATCGTAACTGACCAAGGTCTTTGACTTCAAATTCTTTAGCTAGTAACAATTTTAACCCTTCAATTCCAGTATAGTCACCACCTGTAATTATAATGTCGTCTATCAAACCATGCTTTAAGAACATTATGTGGTCTGTTTGGCATTGAGAGAAACCATGCATCCTAACCACTCGTGTAAGCCTATCAAACCAAGCCTGTGGGGCTTGTTTGAGCCCGTATAATGATCTTTTGAGCTTACATACCTTGTCTGAATTTTCTGACGTCTCAAGTCCAGGTGGTATTCTCATGTAAACATCTTCTTCAAGTTCACCATTTAGGAAAGCATTTTTTATATCTAGCTGATGAAGTGGCCAATCCAAATTGACTGGCAAGGAAAGGAGAGCACGGACTGAGTTTAATTTTGCTACAGGTGCAAAGGTCTCTTCATAGTCCACCCCATAAGACTGAGTGAATCCTTTTGCCACCAATCGAGCTTTATACCTGTTCACACTCCCGTCTACATTATATTTCATTGAGAATATCCATTTGCATCCAACTGGCTTCTTTCCATCTGGAATGTGAGAGAGCTGCCATGTACCATTCTTCTCTAGTGCCTTGATTTCTACCACAAATGCAGCCTTCCACTCTGGAACTAGGATAGCTTCATGAAAATTTTGAGGAATATGGGTGTTGTCCACTGAGTTGATGAAATTCTTATACTCCTGCGACAATTTTTCACTAGAAACGTGGTCCCCAATTGGGTGTTTGGTAAGACCTCACTCATTTTCTTAGGGAAATAGGTAAGTTTAAGCTCTGGTCATAAGTGTCATTATCCAATAAATTAGAAGATGAGTCAATGCATGGTAATTTACCTTTGTGAGTAGGTTCAGAATCTGAATTTTGGGCAGAGCCTTGGTTCTGCTTCGGAAGAGTGCATGTTTCTACTTCCTTAAGAGTTTGAAGCTTGTTTTTCTTCCTTGTGTATGCATGTAGTTCTTTTCCTTCATTCGTTGTCTTGATAACCTCAAGAGTGGTTGCTTGCTGGTCCAATTCAGGTTCAAGTATTATTTGGGCAGATTCTAAATTTTTAGTGGTTGAGCAAGGTTTCTGAGGGTTAGATTTTGGGACAGATTCTTGCTGGACAGATTCTGGTACATTTTCTGGAACCTTTTCTGGGACAGATTCAGGGACAGATTGTTGGATAGATTCTGGGACATATTCTGGTATAGTAATTTCCTAAGGTTGGTGTTTATCAATTGTCCCTTTCTCCCCCTGAATGGCAGCCTTGTAATAAAAGGCATTCTCTTCATAAAACCTGACATCTATAGTGTGATAGATTCGTCTTTTCTGAGGACAATAGCATTTATATCCTTTCTTGGTAGGAGAGTATCCCAAGAATATACATTTGATGGCTTTTGGGTCCAGGCTTGTTTGGATTTGGCTTTTGATCATGTACAAATATCGTACATCCAAAAAAATCTTTGGTGGGAGATTTGTGGATAAGTTTGGTCGAAGGATAAAAGGACAAGAGGGTTTGGTGAGGTGTGTTTAGATTAAGTGTTTTGGAGGGCATTCTATTTATCAGGTATGATGAAGAAAGAACTGCGTCTCCCCAAAAATGGCTAGGTACATTCATGGACAACATGAGGACTAGAGTGACTTATTTTTCCTCTCTTGTTCCATTTTGTTGGGGAGAATTTGGACATGAAGTTTGGTGTACAATCCCATTTTTGGCAAGGTATGTACCAAGGGTGTGGTGGAAGTACTCCCCCCATTATCAATTCTTAGGATTTGAATGTTGTTTTGAAATTGGGTTTGAACCATTTTATAAAAGTTCTCAAATATACTCCCTACCTCTGACTTTTCTTTCATGAGAAACACCTAAGTGACTCTTGTATGGTCATCAATAAAAGTGACAAACCACCTTGACCCAGTAATATTGTTCACTCGAGAAGGTCCCCACACGTCACTATGAATAAGGGTGAAAGGTTTAGATGCTTATAAGGTTGTACGGAATAATGAAACTTGGTGTGTTTGGCTAGTTCGCACATTACACATTTGAAAAAATCAGAATCTTTATTAAATAATGATGGAAACATCTTTTTCAAATATATAAAATTTGGGTGTCCTAGGGGATAATGCCATAACATTACATCATTCTCATTCTTTGATAACATGTAAGGACAGCCTTGTATGACCTTTTATTTAGTTCTTCAACTCTTAGGTAGTAAAGACTTGCACTCTCCTCAGCATTGCCAATCATCTTCCCCGAATTCATATCCTGAAATTCGCACAAATTTGGTAAAAACTTAGCAATACATCCCAATTTTTTTGTTAAATTATAGATAGACAACAAGCTGCAATTTAATTTTGGAACATGTAAAGCTGAATCAAGAGTAATATCTTTAGAGATGATCACTGAACCTTTACCAGCCACTTTAGAGGTAGTAGCATATGCTATTCGGACAAAAGATCCATCTTGACAGGAGTGTATTTCGTAAATACAATGATGTCCCCAGTTACGTGATCCAATGCACCAAAATCAACAATCCATTGGTTTGTTTTCTAGTGATGAACATGAAGGGCAGTAGAAAAATTACCTTTTTGGGCAAGAGTAGTAATGGAAGAAGAAGTACTAGTGTTCTGTATTGCTTGTTGCATCATTTTCTGCAACATCTCTATTTGTTTTTTGTTGAAAGGGCTTGCCTCTGATGTACTTTTGAATTTGCTTTCATCAACAGCAACAGCACATGCGCGTGTATCCTTGAATCGTGGTAAAAAAATCCATGGGTTTCCCATGAAGCACCCAACATGTTTCCTTTGTATGTCTGGGACGCTTGGAATGATCACACCATCTTCTACCTTTCCTTGGTGGGCCTCTTGCTACAAGGGCAGAGCCTTCAATGTTTACACTTTTACTTTCCAACATAACTTTTCTTCTACTTTCTTCCCTTCTTACTTCTGCAAGTGCTTGACGAATGCTAGAGAGAGGTTTAGTTTCAAGAATCCTTCCCTTTACTTCATCTAAATTTTTATTCAGCCCCAATAAAAATTGATAGATTCTATCCTTATCAATCAATTTTTTGTAGATTTTTTCATCCTCTGGAAACTTCCACTCTGTGTCGACATAGATGTCGAGTTGCTGCCAGTACTTTGTGAGAGTGTGATAGTACTCCTTTACTAGAGAGTCTCCTTGTTGAAGGTTGTGTAAGAGATTCTTGATCTCAAATATGGCTGAAGTGTTATCCACATTTGAGTACGTCTCCTTGGCTGCATTCCAGATTTCTGCAGCATTGCCATAATACATGAAATTTTCACCACATTCATTTGTCATGGAGTTGAGTAACCATGACATCACAAGACTTTTTTCAAGTTTCCACTTCGCATGGTTTGAATCAGTCTTTGTTGGGTGCTTAGCGTCGCCAGTGATGTAGTCTTCCTTTCCCTTTCCTTGGAGGAAGAGTCGGACAAATCTGGACCACTGTGTATAATTCTGTCCATTGAGCTTGTAACAAGTAATGAGAATTGTCTCATTATGACTGGTGGTGTTTCCAGTCCATTCTTTGGATCAACATCTGAGATCAGATGCTTGAGTTGTTTGTTTTTTCCTCCATAGGAAAACCCTAATTTTTTCTTTGGGATCAGAAGAGTAGCTCTGATGCCATGTAGTAATTGTGTACTTTTTATTGAGTTTGTACATAATAGAATAGGATATAAATAGCCTAGGGAATACAAGTAACTATAGAAACTAATTAAATCCTAATTAATTCAAATTAATTCCTATTTACAAGAAGAGAAATATTCTATATGGCTGTATAATAAGTATAAATGTATTCATATAATACAGCTATAAAATCTGCATTGCTGTCCCTTATTAATGGCTGCATAACTGTGCCTTAAAGGCTGCAGATCAACAACCAACATTTTGGTTTTAGAATATGTGTTGGGCGCCTAACTCAACTCCACAATGTAGGACTCTCGACACCCCAACACGCCCAGGTCTTAACATCTAGTGCATGACTCGATAACGGGTGGCCCAGCGAATTTTTTATAGACTCTAATACTATTTTAAAATTTTGGTTGGGCCTACAAAATAGACAAGGGGTGTGTAAAACACTTTTCTCGACCATATCACATTAACTATGAGACTCTCAACAATAAACTTTCATAGTTAACATAGATAGCCTACACTGATTTATGTGAGCTCAAACTTTAAGGATCTCAGGAGCTGTTTCTCTTGAATGTATATCCATACTATATTTTGTAAATGATACAAGAAATATTCAGATTCGATTCAAGCCATATTTATTCAGGTTAGTGAGTGTGTGTGAGAGAGAATACTGCTAACACAGTCAAGCAATGATTAGTCGATCACAATTTACTCAGATATATGAATTTGAAGTGTTTGTTAGCATACCATTGCGTAGCCAACGCTCCGCTGTCAAAGGTTGAAGGCAACATTCTCCACTTTCGGCATTTGTCACATTGCACCCACTCACAATCTGGTTTGTAGACACAGTTATCCTTGTCCTAAGGAAGAAATAAAAGTAAAGTTCAGCAAACCTCCCGGGTAAAGGAAGAATAGGAGGACATTAACCATTCACAATTTAAATTAAGTTACTCTTATCATTATCAAATTCAATTATTTAGTCTCGAGACAGCCCACGTGGAGAAAGCAACCTCAATTTAAAACTATTTTTTAGCCTCAAGGAATAACAAGAATTTGACAATCTTTCATAAATGATAGAATTGAAAGAAAAGTTTTACCAAATGAAGTGAATCAAAATTAGTGTCCCAGTATTCATCTGCTTTTTCCCCAAGCCACTGCTCAAGACATGCATATGCTTCACAATCTTGGAATCCCTGCTTGTTATTATGCACCCACACACGACCATCCAGATCATCCTATGCCAAATAGGAAGACAGAGTATGGGATTTCAAATGTTGTGAAGATGAAAACAGCAATTGATTATTGGGTAAGTACTAAGCATTTGGATTGAAGATTTTGATAACATAGTTTTATGATGATTCCTGTGACACATTCTACGCAAAAATAAAAAAAATCCCTTCTCAGAAGTACAATCCAGAACTAAGCCAACTTACACAGAATCATTTGGGCAAATTGTACAAGCATATAAATCCAGTTGCAAAAAATAAATATCCAAAATGAAAAGAAAAAAAGAACATAATCGAGAACATAATTTTTTTCTCACAAGTTCCAATTGGTTTGTGCAAAAACTAGTTCTATAATATGACATAAAGAATAATAAGTTAATAACTAAAAATTAGGCAATCTAAACTTAAGTGTTACTCCAGCCAAAAGTTATGACATTTCCCTGTTTCAGTTAACATACATAATATTCAAATTTTAATAATAATTAACCCACGGCAGTTGTGTATAACAGAGGCACATCATATCATATCATTCGGGAAGATGGTAAAATCAAATACATTTCTAGACCTAAGCAGCAAAGATTAATAAAAATATCCAAGCAGCAAACACATTATTTTCTCCAAGGCTCCAAATGGTTAATACATGTAAATCAATTCCAAAATATAGTATTTGTATTAATGCAATCAGAGGGTACATACAATTAAATTGGTCACATCCATGACACCAATTACACCCCGACCCACATCTGCACTATGAATCATGCCACCAACTCTCTTGTAAGCCTACAAAAGTTAGGAAAAAATGGTATGAAATTTATAAAAGTTTAAATAAGGAGGAAAAAGAAAAATAATGAAGACTTTATGTTACAGTTTAATACAGAAAGACAAAGCACCAACTCTTAGTTTCTTCTATGAGTGGACTCCTGATTCTAATTAAATGAAGAAACTAACCATGGCGGTTACTAGACCCAAAACCTTAATTAAGACAGGAAACAAAACAAGAAATATGAAAATCAATTGTATGAAATAGTTTAACACTTCTGTAAGCTAAAGCTAACTGAGTTTTAATTTAAGGCTTGTTAAAAATAAACTCTCTAGGAAAATGTTACACGCAAAAAATATGGCTGAAAAGCCAACCCAGTGATGTCAGAGATGTATGTAGATGAACAGTGATAGAATCATCATCAATCAAAAGAGTCAGTTGGTGTGTTGCATACAACCAAGGATAGAAAAACTCATTAGAATTATTCTCAGCGAAAAGTTCCCACCAGGTAATTATAAACAGCAAAAACTAGAATTTTAACCAAATGAAAATTTAGGATATCCAAAAAAAAAAACAAAAAAGAAATGTCACCATAGCTAGTGTCTATCACAACCATTGATGATTCATCATGGCGTGACTCATAAGTGAAATAGGAGAGATCATTATTGTAATAATTCACTGCGGATGGCGGGTATAGATCACAATATTTGATTACAAATTATCCATTTCTATAATACATTACTGATTTCAAATTGTTGAGGTCAAACAAAATTTGGAATGGTCAGGTCAGACTATCCGAGATATTAATTTAGAGTGTATCTCATTGGTGAAATACGAGAAATCACTATTGGGTATAATTCACAATAGGAGGCTGTTATAAAATGCAATTGAATCACTCCTAACTCTACGTCTATACTTAAACCAGATTCCTGATTTGAATTAAATTAGGAAACAAATCAAGATGCTAAGAGAAAAGGAATGAGAGGTGCATGACTAAATCCATGGGTCTAAACTACGAAATGGAGCTATAGACATAACATATAGAAAACAAGGAATAAATACAAGAACTTTTGATTATCCTAATTACTGTTATTGCTGAATACAAAACTCGTTATAATTACCTTAGTTTTATTCTGTCAATTGTAAATATTAATGTATTTATTAGAGATAACACTGTTATTTCGTCCCCATTATCAGGCTTAAATAGTTTCTTTAGATAGCCTAGGCTTATTGATAAGATTCCAGTATCACAGGATCACGTTTCTCTTTGCTTCATGTATGTGTGTTTATTATCTACATCTTAAATCTTAAATCCCTTATGAATATTGTGAAACATTCAGATTCAAGTTTTCCTATCTATCAATGGCCCTTAAGTTGGAGAAAATAGATAATACACATAAAGCTTGTTACACATTAATCTTACCAGAGGTCCTTATAAAAATGTAGGGAAGAGGAGTGCTAGAAACACTCTCCTTTCAACACTCACTATAGCATTCTCTTTTATGGGGGTATGGGGTGAAAACTATGCCGATTGTTGTAGATAGAATGTAATTTTAGCAAAAGGTGAAGTGTTTCTGTCATAGAGGTGAAAGTTTCGAGATCATATCATACCACATATTATGCAATTTAAATATCTCGGGTCCATAGTACAAAACAACAGAGAAATAGAATGAGACAAACCATCGAATTCAAGTTGGGTGAAATAACAGTTAACTTCCATTTATAACTAACTTAACAACCTAAAACGGCTATAAATAAAACATTTTCACATTGATTTCATCAAATAAGAGAGTAGGTATTAGATTGAATGTTGGAAAGAGAGAGTGTTCATGACACTCCTCTTTTGGGAAATCGTCAGTCTGTTAAATTTTGCCCGCACATTAATACACCAAAGATTGATGAATAACAAATCATTAAGCAAACTGCAGGGCACTTCAGTGCAGCCAATATTTTCAGAACAGCATTCAGCTCACCCAAGACCTTGGATAGATGCATTTGGAATGCAAGTGTGTGCGATATGACGGTTCCCAGATCCAGTTGAATATGTATTGTATCCATCATTCGTAACAGATTTAGTTTCAATTCTCAAATTTCTCTCATCTAACAGCCTGGATCTTAAGCAGACTTTGATAGAAAGGACATAAATAAACATTTGAACTGTGTTCTGTTGTGTTTTAAAAGTGGGGGTGGGGGAAGGACACAAGTAGATAAAAAAAAGGCACATTTTTTTGGTTCACGCTTTGTTCAATGGATTCCGAGCCCTTTAATAGCTACAAATATACACCACAGGACTAAATCCTTACCTCAATTAAGCGACCATGCCAATACAGAAATACTCCACAGTTTGCTTGATCCCATTCTAATTGACTAAGTCCTAGAGTCAATTCAACTGGCCTTTTCAATATCTCACCACTTTCAATAATCGTTTTAGTGAGGAAATTTGCTAGCGGTCGACTTTTAACCTAAGCAAAGATAAAACAAACAATTAGAATGAGAGATTGAAGGTCAAGAACAAAAAACAATCATCTTGGTTCCATTGACTACTTGGAACTTGCAAGAATGGAATTACCAGTTTCCTTTGAACACATATCTTCATTCGAGGAACTAAGAAGATGACTTCCAAATAAGCTCGTAAAGAGAAATCCAAAGGAACCTGAAGCCACAAGAAATATGAAAAAAAAACATGTTTAGTTTCAATTGATAATAATCTCATAAAAGCAAAAGAGATGCCAAACCTTTTGATTAAGTTGGCCTAGACGAGAACGACTCCTTCTGCTGCGGATGAAAATATCACCTTGATGAAAAGAACTCCCACCTTTCAATCCATCATGCCACTCTAGGCAACACCCTGACCCCCATTCATCCAAGTTCCATATATATATTTGGGTTCCCGTACCACCACAAAACAAGGCTGCCTTTTCACCAATAAGATACTTATTAAACGGTGAGAACTCCTTAATAGCTTTTAAATTGTATTTTGCCAATTTATCTGATTGCGCTTTTGTGTCAACTTCCATTTGTTGTCCTTGCCGGCAGTAACTAACAATGGGAATCTCTATATTCTGCAACAAATATTAAAACAATAGTATCAACATAGAATAGTGAAGTCAATCATCATTATTTTTTAAAGTGCCATCACTAATGTCTTCAGTATAATTAAAAGAAAATAGAGATTGTTTAACGTACATCCTTGCCTTCATTCAATGATTGTGAAAGAAAAGCTATAGATCTGGAATTAGCAGTCTGGGTTAGAACAAGAACATCTTTGCCAAGCCTCATTGCTCCTGTCTATTGTAGGGGGAACAACAATGAACAAAAAGTCAAAATTTCACTGCAGCAATAAGATAGAGGTGTGATCAAAGCTATATTATAATTTGCATTTCTTCTAATTCAATAAAAAACTATTAATAGCTAATGCGAAAAATAACATATCTTCAAAAATCCGATATGAGAAATAGTGGATGATGTAATAGGTAAATAGAGGAAGCCGCAAAGCGGTTGAAATATAAGTAATTGTCTATAAAATAAAGCATGTTGCACACAAATAAAAACTCCAAAAATATAAATTAAAATAGTAACCGACATAAAACTCAAAATCTCAATATTTCAGACAACTAAGCATGATGCATAGTTGCATACACTGCTGTAGAAAGCCAAAAAACAGAAATTAAAAGTGACTTAAAACTCAATCTAACTAGTTCAAAATAACTAACAATGGGTACTTCTAATTAGTGATAAAAGATAAAATTATCTAATTATTCTCCTCTTCCCCAAAATAATGAATATCCACATTTTCAGGTTTTGTACTATTTAAATTTTAAAAAAATATTGGCCACCATTTTATGTTTAGTAATTTTCTGTTTTAAATGTTTGGCCAGTGCTATAACACACTACTCCGCAAATTCCGATACATAATAGCGGTATAGCGGCGCTGTACCAGTTTTTTAACAACACTAACAAAATAATATCATGATTTGAAACTTAAGAGTATACTATATGTCTTTCTTGTAACATCAGAAATCTAAAATCAAAATACATTAAGGAAAAACAAACTAACATTAATCAGTGCTTTAGTCAACATAGAGAAATTGTCTATTTTCTCCTTCCTTGTAAATATTTTTCGGAATTAATTATTAATTAAAGTAGGTTATAGGTAAGAAATAGTTGTAGATATCATATTGAATCCCTATCATCAAAAGGTTCTGATTTACATGTATCATTATAAATTCACAAGGCTAAAAGTTAATCTTTACTGGCAAGGTTGTCTCAATGGTCCTAGCTATAGACCACTGACACATCCTCTCCCAGAACGCTGCTGCGAAAATGCCTGTCCCAAGCCCTTGTCGCAATTCGTATCACATTCAGTTTGGAAGAAGATAGCTAATCTCTCACGAAACTCAGTATCAAATTCAGTCTCAATTTCTTTTATTGAAACACATTCTCATTGTGACAAACTATCTCTGGTAAAGGTAAGAGAAACTCTCGGTGCAAAATAACTAAGCAAGCTAAACAACACTTAATGAATCGTATTTTCTTCTTATAAAAGAAGATTAATCGACAATAAAAAATACTCCTCTAGTCTCAATTATTAGCAAAACTAACAAACTTCACACAATTCACTTAAAAGCAGATAATCTCCTTGATCTCATAAAAAAATTAAGCATATTCATAAGAAAAAAACCCTTTTATGATATTTATTATTGACTAATCTCCTTTCAATTGTCTCCTAGCACTACTGAAGGGTATTAAGGAAATAATAGCAATAAATACTGTGAAGGTAGTTGAAGATTGCTTATATTTGAGAGCAAAGAATATGAATATTTTTGTTTACAATTGAGACTAGAGGGAGTAATAAACTATATAACTAAAGAGAATTTAAACTCTTAAAATAGGGGAGCAAATGCAACAGAAAAGTAAAACATGAATCAAATGCAAGACCAAACAACTCCTTTCAACTATTTGCATATGCATCAGTGGTAGCCCACAAAAACTACACTGACTAAACACAACATAGAAAATAAAAGCCATTTAGACAAATCTTGTGCACCAAAAGGCCAAAATGAAATTCAAAAAAACACTTGGGCGAAAGAAAGAAAAAAAGAGCAGTAAGAAAACTACCTTGAATCCAACACCAAATCTACCGATTTGGTCCTTGTCATCATAGTCAGATTTTTTGTGCCCAAAAGATACCATTCTCATAATCTCATCATGGTTCATCCCTTGACCATCATCAATTACTGACAGCATGGGTACATCGTTCCCAGATTTCTTCATCTTTATCATATCAACAAAAATATCAATCCTGTTGCATCAACATCAAAGAAATAACAAGTATCATTTTAAATCGATAGACAAGTTACATAGATAAGAATGGGAAACTTTATATATGCTACTCGTACAGTTACCACATTTCAATCAGCCAGATTTACTACATTTCAAATAAATTAGTATTATATGTTTAAAAATTTCTACATATGAAATTTATCTTTTTGAATTATATGATTCTTTTATAATGAAATAGATTGTAAATGAGGTTTAACCATATATCTTAGAGGTGCTGAAGATCGATAAGTTTATTAATATTCCTTAAAATGATCAACATCAAACCAAAAAGACTATACCAAGAAAAATTCTAAAAATGTTAGAAACACTAGAGTAAAATATATATTATTAATGTAAAGTTTGCCAAGAAGGACAAAAACAATACAACAGTGGCAGAAAAAAAACATAAACCTACTTAGTTGCTTTGGCATCCCGTGAATTATCAACAAGCTCAGCTATTCCACCAAAAATCCATCCAGAGTGAGCCTGGCCAAGAGTTTTCAGGTAACTTGGGTCTGCTCGTATGAAATTTTTCTCAGGAAGTCTTTCCTTCATCGCATGTGATTGAATTCCACCACAGGTTTCAGATGTAAAATGATGTGCGCGATCTTCCGCAGGGGGAAACTTTGGAAGTGAGGAGGAGGCATCTCCACCATTTGGTGGACCTCTTGCCATGATAGTATTGTGTCCACCATATTCCTCAGCTATGTGTGAACCTGTTAAGGAAGGCTCTACTATAATTATTTAACTCCACGGATGAGGCAAAGGCCAAGCTTAGATTAATATTTTCACAGGCTTCTTTTTTATGCATAAATAAATTTCAATTTCTATCCCATGGTTACAAAAAGATCGTCCATAAACTATTTAGATTCAAGCCAATTCATTTTTTGCATGCAAAACATTTTGTTTGTGTTGATATTTGTATGTAGAATAGTCCCACATCGATTATATAGTGTAATTAGTTGTAATCTCTCTATATATAATAAAGTCTCCGTAGTGCTTTCATAACACACGGTTTAACCTAAATGTCTCTTAGTCTCTCCTAATTCAATATGGTATCTAGAGCCTTAAGAGGCAATTCTTCGCCGTGTTTTACCCGGTTGACCCACTGTCTTCCGGTAAGAAATTTTCTTCTGCAAACCGTGTCATCATTCCGGTTTGCCTCACCTTTTTTTCCAGCGACCTCTGCCAAGCACAGTCCACGAAAAAAAAAAAAAAAAATTTTTTTTTTTTTGGAGGACTACTGTTCACCGCCGCCGCTACTGTTCACAAAAAAAAAAAAAAAAAAATTTTTCTTCGGAAAATCGCCTTCCTCCTCCGGTTCCAGATCCGCCCTAGGCTTTCGTTTTCGACTCACAGAAAGTCGTACTCTCGAAAAGTCGTACACTATGCAGACTTCACCTTTTCTTCAAAACCCTACGCCAAGCTACGAGGATTTTCTCAGGTGGTGTCAGACTAACCAGACCTCTGGTTCCACGGCTTCGTTTGCACACACTGGTAATTCATCTGTTTGCGTCTCTCAATCATCTCCTCTTGGTCCTTGGGTCCTCGACTCTGGTGCGTCTGATCATGTTACCGGTAATAAAAATCTTTTCTCTTCCCTTTCTACCTCTGGTTTCTTACCGAGTATAACTGCCGCAAATGGTTCTCAAACCCGATCCCAAGGGATCGGTACTGTTCAAATTCTACCATCTCTCTTTGTTACTTCTGTCCTATATGTACCCAATTGCCCATTTAATCTACTGTCAGTCAGTCGTTTAACTCGTTCCCTTAATTGTTCTATCACTTTTACTAACAGTGATGTTATTCTGCAGGATCGAAGTTCGGGACAGACGATTGGCGTCGGATGTGAGTCTCAAGGCCTTTACTACTTCTCTACGTCATCTACCACATGCTCCACCACAAATTCTCCACTCATTATACATGCGCAGTTAGGTCATCCAAGTCTTCCCAAACTACAAAAGTTGGTGCCCAGTTTATCTAAATTATCCACTTTACAGTGTGAGTCTTGTCAATTAGGGAAACATACTCGTAGTCACTTTCCTGATCGAGTCAATAAACGGACTGCGTCTCCTTTTGCTTTAGTTCACTCCGATGTTTGGGGTCCATCGCGTACTGTGTCTACTTTTGAGTCTAGGTATTTTGTAACATTTATTGATGATTTTTCACGTTGCACGTGGCTATTTTTAATGAAAAACAGATCTGAATTATTTTCTATTTTTGAACAATTTTATCGAGAAATAAGAACCCAATTTGATTTGTCCATTCGTACCTTAAGAAGTGACAATGCTCGTGAATATTTATCCCAACAATTTCAAACTTTTATGTCATCCAATGGTATTCTACACCAAACATCTTGTCCTCATACACCTCAACAAAACGGGATAGCCGAACGCAAAAACCGGCATCTCGTAGAAACCACTCGGACTCTACTTCTCCATGGTAATGTCCCTCTCAGATTTTGGGGGGATGTTGTGCTCACAGCGTGTTATCTCATAAATCGCATGCCCTCATCTGTCCTTAATAATAAAATCCCTCATTCAATCTTGTTTCCAAACTCTCCTCTTCATCCAATTCCTCCTCGAGTCTTCGGGTCTACATGTTTTGTGCATAATCTCTCCCCTGGTCTTGATAAACTATCAGCTCGATCACTAAAGTGTGTCTTTCTTGGTTATCATCGATCCAAAAAGGGTTATCGTTGCTACTCACACACTCTGCAACGATACCTGATATCGGCCGATGTTACCTTCTTCGAGTCTGTGCCATATTTTACGTCCACCCAAGTCACTCCGGAACCCCTTCAGGAAAGTACTCCCACACCTCTTCCGGACGTCCCATTTCCCATTATTCCCCATCATTCTAGGGAACCTGTCCCACGAGAAACCCCTACGGTTGACCCCCCCACTTCTCGTCCACTTCAAACATATCAGCGTCGTAAACCAACGTCTGTCATACCTGTCCCTGAGGTCGTACATGTCCCTGAGGTCGTACATGTCCCTGAGGTCATTGCAGACTCTCCTCCGACGCTATCGCCATCACCGGATTCGATCCTGCAACCTGAGTCTGATCTTCCGATTGCCCTTCGCAAAGGTATACGTCAAACACGAAATCCTTCTCCACATTATATTGATTTATGCTATCATCGTCTTTCCCCTTTGCAGTATACTTGTTTGTCCTCTTTGTCTTCTGTTTCTATTCCTAAATCTCCAGGTGAAGCATTATCTCACCCTGAGTGGAGGCAAGCAATGATTGATGAAATGTGTGCTCTTCAAAGCAGTGGTACCTGGGAACTGGTTCCTCTACCCACTGGAAAATCTTTAGTAGGTTGTCGTTGGCTTTATACAGTGAAGGTTGGTCCAGATGGTAAGATTGATCGTTTTAAAGCTCGCTTGGTAGCCAAGGGATACACTCAGATTTTTGGGTTGGATTATAGTGATACCTTCTCACCTGTAGCCAAGATGGCATCTGTTAGACTTCTTCTAGCCATTGCAGCCATTCGACACTGGCCTCTTCATCAACTTGACATCAAAAATGCATTTTTACATGGTGATCTTGAAGAGGAAGTATATATGGAGCAACCACCTGGGTTTGTTGCTCAGGGGGAGTCATCGAATATGGTTTGTAGGCTACACAGGTCTCTTTACGGTCTTAAGCAATCTCCGAGAGCTTGGTTTGGCAGATTCAGCACTGTAGTACAACAATTTAGTATGGTCCGTAGTGAAGCTGATCATTCTGTCTTTTATCGTCACTCAGTACAAGGGTGTATTTATCTTATTGTGTATGTAGATGATATTGTCATAACTGGTAGTGATGAGTCGGGAATACTCCAGTTGAAACAACATCTTTCAAATCAATTTCAAACAAAGGATCTTGGTAAACTCCGGTATTTCTTGGGTATTGAGGTAGCCCAATCTAAAGATGGTTTGGTGATTTCTCAGCGGAAATATGCTATGGATATTTTGGAAGAAACAGGTTTGTTGAATGCTAAACCAGTTGACACTCCTATGGATCCAAGTGTCAAACTACTACCCAATCAGGGGAAGCCTCTATCAGACTCGGGAAGGTATAGGAGATTGGTTGGAAAGTTGAATTATCTCACAGTCACTCGTCCAGACATTTCTTTTGCAGTCAGTGTGGTAAGTCAGTTCTTAAATTCCCCTTGTCAGGAACACATGGATGCTGTTATCCGGATTCTAAGATACATCAAATGTGCTCCAGGAAAAGGTTTAGTGTATGAAGATAAAGGACATACTCAGATAGTTGGATACTCTGATGCTGATTGGGCAGGGTCACCAATGGATAGACGATCCACCTCTGGGTACTGTGTACTTGTTGGAGGAAATCTTATATCCTGGAAAAGTAAGAAACAAAATGTAGTTGCAAGATCAAGCGCCGAGGCAGAGTATAGGGCCATGGCAATGGCAACATGTGAACTCATTTGGTTAAAACAGTTGCTCAAAGAACTTAAAATTGAAGAAGCAAGACCAATGACACTTGTATGTGATAATCAAGCTGCATTGCACATTGCTTCAAATCCAGTCTTCCATGAGAGGACCAAACATATTGAGATAGACTGTCACTTTGTCAGAGAGAAGATCGAATCCGGCGTCATCGTCACAAGCTTTGTCAACTCTAATGATCAATTGGCAGATGTGTTTACAAAATCTCTGCGAAGCCCCAGAACTAATTATATATGTGGCAAGCTTGGTGCATTTGACTTATATGCTCCAGCTTGAGGGGGAGTGTTGATATTTGTATGTAGAATAGTCCCACATCGATTATATAGTGTAATTAGTTGTAATCTCTCTATATATAATAAAGTCTCCGTAGTGCTTTCATAACACACGGTTTAACCTAAATGTCTCTTAGTCTCTCCTAATTCAATATGTTAAGAGTCCCACATCGGACAATATATGGCCTGAACATGTGTTTATAAGTGGGGGCAATCCTCACCCTACAAGCCGGTTTTGTAGGGTTGAATTAAGCCCAACCACATCTTAATATGGTATCAGAGCCTCGTGGGCCATCCACCATTTATTTCCACGCTCCAGTTGTCTAGTCCTGGGCGTGAGGGGGTGTGTTAAGAGTCCCACATCGGACAATATATGGCCTGAACATGTGTTTATAAGTGGGGGCAATCCTCACCCTACAAGCCGGTTTTGTAGGGTTGAATTAAGCCCAACCACATCTTAATAGTTTGTAATATTTTCATAGCATTTGGATTCGACTAGTTATAAAATAAGAATGAAAACCTGATTCACAATCTCTTGGACGAGTATCTACAGTAGATGTGCTGCCTATTTGATATGCAACATTAACTGAGCATGATATAGATGCTTTCGGTGGAGGCAAAAAGTAGAACTTGCACTGCTCAAAGCTTGCAATAGCAACCTGAAAAACAGAGTCATATTGATTCTGGTTCAACCATTCAAAAGAAGAACACAGAGGGAAAAAGTACTAGTTTTACTCTATTGTTAATCATGGATGTATCATAAATATTGCCACTTATAGGATATTGTAAAAACAATCATGGACCTTGACAGTCAAGAGACATAGACAATTAACACAATTAGTAAAACTGGGGCATAAGTTTTTTTTTTTAATTTAATAATTACAGCATGTAAATGAGAATACAGCTGGCCATAATTTTTAAAAATTTACTTTGTAATAATATATACATACAGGAGTACACAGCCATACTAGCATATTGCAAATTAACTAGCAAACAAGGACATACCACTACCTGAAAAACCTGTGCATAAAACACATTAGAAATCTGTATTTTCTCTAGATCACTAACAACAAGAATCTGACTGGAACACATGAGGAAAACGACACCAAACAATCAAATAAATAAAAAATTGTCACAAGAACTGCCTCGACATCATAACATAAGTATATCATTAGAGGCTATAAAAAGGCATAACTGAACTTCTGTCTCCTACTTGGAAGAACAATTGGTCCTAATATACATGAGTAATCTACAAGACTTAAATTACCTCCTGATAGAGTTTGATAATGAAGAGAGGAGAGAAAATAGTTTGATAAGTCTCATTATATTCACTATATTAAGAAGATACAGGAAGCTCTCTATATATAGAGGGACTTAGATCTAACAAACTATAGCTGCTATAACAGAATTATGACAGCTCAGCATATATTGCTAACAGAATATTAGAACAGAAATATAAACTAACTGACTAACTATATAATAACTCTATTAGTCCCCTGTAGAAGTTGAGGGTGGTCTGGACACCTTCAACTTTTCACGCAAAGGTACAAACTTGGCAGCAGATAGAGATTTAGTCAGAATGTCAGCCCACTGATCTTGAGCTGGGACATGAGCCACTAAGAGACTTTTGCTCAGAACTTTTTCCCTCACAAAAAAGATGTCCAGCTCCATGTGTTTAGTCCTATTGTGGAGGATAGGATTGTGGGCAAGTGTGACTGTACTTAAGTTGTCACATAGGATTTTTGGCACTTGAAAGGGACAGTTAATTTCTTTGAGCAGAGACTGAACCCATATTAACTCAGCAGCCAACAGAGCCATACTACGATACTCAGCCTCAGCACTGGACCTGGCTACCAGCTGCTGCTTCTTAGACCACTAGGAGATGACATTTGGGCCAAGAAAAACACAGGCGCCTGAGGTTGATCTTCTGTCATCAGGGTCAGATGCCCAATCAGCATCACAAAACCCTATTAACTGCATAGGTTGATGAACAATGGCAGGTTGCAAGAGTAACCCATGCTGTATGGTGCCACTTAAATATCTTAAGATCCTTTTGACTGCCTTCCAATGTTCCTCTAGGGGATTGGACAGGAATTGACAAACTTTGTTGACAGAATAAGAAATTTCAGGTCTAGTCAATGTGGCATATTGCAAAGCACCCACAACAGATCTGAACTGAGTGGGATCCTCAACAGGAACAAAACCCACCTTTGACAATATGCTGGTAGAAGCCATGGGAGTGGGCATGGCATTTGCATTGAGCATATTTACTTTTTAGAAGTAAATCAGTAAGATATTTTGTTTGAGAGAGAAGAATGGAACCATTAGGTAGATGAGAAACCTGAATGCCTAGGAAGTAGTCAAGTTGTCCCAACTGTTTCAATGAGAATTTATCATTAAGAAGCTTGATCAAGGATGTAATAAAGGAAGCTGAATTTCCTGTAATGATGATGTCATCAACATATACAAGAACCGTGATCTGAAGTTTGCCTTGATGAAGCAGAAACAGACTGGGATCACACCTACTAGCTTGAAACACATGCTGAAGCAGGGCACTCTTGAGTTTGTCAAACCAGGCCCTAGGGGCCTGTTTTAACCCATAGATAGATTTGTTCAACCTGCACACTAGGGACTTGTCAGAGGCTGCAAACCCAGGGGTTGTTGCATGAAAACTTCCTCCTCAAGAGTGCCATTTAGAAAGGCATTATTGACATCAATTTGTTGGATGATCCATTTGTTTGTGACAACAATAGTAAGGACTGTTCTAACTGTGACAGGCTTGATGACTGGTGAAAAAGTCTCTTGAAAATCACTGCCAGCCCTTTGATGAAACCCTTTGGCAACTAATCTGGCCTTGTATTTGTTGACAGATCCACCAGGGTTTTCTTCGGTCCTAAAGACCCACTTGCAGCCAATTGGCTTCCTAGAATCAGGTGCTTTCACCAAAGTCCAGGTCTGATTTCTCATCAATGCCTGATATTCCTCTTTCATTGCTTGGAACCAATGAGGAGTAGCCAAGGCTTGATCAATTGATGTTGGTTCCATATGGGTTAAAAGCAGTGTGGGATTAAGTCTAGATAGGGTAATGCCTATTTTGGCTCTGGTTTGCATAGGATGCACATTGAGAGGATTGACAAAAGGTTGGTTGGAGTGAGAGGGGTTATAGAGGAAACAGTTTGAGAGGAAGAGGGAGAAATGGTAGACGCTTCAGCAGGGTCTGAAAGAATGAGGGCAGGAGAGCAGGGAGGGGTGTGGTCAGCATTAGCAAGGACTGGTTGGTCATGAGTAGGAGAAGCTGAAGCTGAACTTGAAGGAACATGGGATGCAGTATGAGGTGCAGGGTTGTGGGATGCAGTAAAACTAGAATTAGAAGTTGAGACGGACTCAGAATGGGAGGCTGAAGGAGAGACAAAATTATGATGTTCAACCTAAGTAGGAGAAGGAGGATTAAGGGAAGGAGAGGATGTAGGTTGCCTGGATTCAGGGGATGGAATTATAGAAGGGACTGACCAGGAGGAGGCATTGGTAGAATTGAGATTTGTGTTGGATAAGGAAGATTGAGATGCAGTGGGGAACATGGACTGATATGGGAATTTAGACTCATGAAACACCACATCTTTGGAGATATAGATGTGACCATCAGAAGCTAGGCACTTGTAACCTTTGTGAGCTGTAGAATAGCCAAGAAATAAACACTCTTGGGACCAATAGGCTAACTTGTGGGCATTGTAGGGACGAAGAAAGGGATAGCAAGAACAACCAAAGACTTTAAGGTTTGAATAATCTGGGGACTTATTTAAAAGTTTGAAATAAGGAGAGAAATTGTCAAGTGTGGGACTAGGTATTCTGTTAATAAGATAGGCAATTGTGACAAATGCATGGTCCCAAAATTTTAAAGGAAAGGTGGATTGGGCTAGAAGTGTGAGCCCTGTTTCAACTATATGCCTATGCTTACGTTCAACAAGGCCATTTTGATGATGAGTATGAGGACAAGTGAGCCTATGAACAATGCCCAAATCATTTAGATATTTGGTGAGAGGCCTAAACTCTCCTCCACCATCACTTTGAACACATTTGATAGGGCAATTGAATTGAAGTTCAACCATTTTCTTAAACTGAGTAAACTAGATAAAGGTATCAGATTTGAGTTTGAGAGGGAATACCCAAACAAACCTAGAAAATGCATCTACACAAGTGAGGAAGTATGTGTAACCACCTGTAGATTTTATAGGTGCAGGACCCCAAAGATCACAAACAACTAATTCAAATGGGTGGGTGTAAACAGTGGTAGATAGGGTAGATGGTAATCTGTGGGACTTGCCAAGGCAGCAAGCCGGACACAATTCTGTAGATGGTTTTGGAAAATTGGGGAAGTTGCATAGTTTGAAAACTTCAACTAGAGAATGATGATTAGGGTGTCCTAATCTAGTATGTCAAAGAACATATTTACTCGTGGCTATGGAGGATGAACTATTAGAATGTGGAGAAGATACATGAGTATTGTAAGTAGTAGAATTAAGAGAAGGAGAATGAGTAAAACTGCTCATATTATTATGAAACTGATCATGATTACAAAGAGTATTACAATGACTTATACAATTTGGTAAGCAATTGAAAACAGGAGTATTGTGTACTATAGATGAAGACGACAAATTACAGCTAGCCCTGCAATATGTAGATTGGGTAGAACATGAATTTGGACTTGGAAAACTAGACTTGGATAGCTGAGTGGTAGGATTAGAGAACTTGTAAAGTCCATCATCTCCAACAGACCCACAAACTAACACTTCGGAAGTAGCCTAAGATTTAACAACACAGAAATTAGGATGAAATTCAAAAAAGACATGATTATCTTGAGCAAATTTGCTCACACTCATTAAGTTTTTGGTTATGATAAGGAGAAGATTTCTAAGGAGAAGTTTTTGGTTGGAAGTGTGTGGCAAGTGAAATGACATGGAACCAACAGAATTTATAGACAAACCTTGGCCATTTCCCATGAATACTTGCTCAGTTCCTGGCAATGAAACAGAATCAGACAATTTAGAGGCATCAGGAGTAACATGATGAGAAGCTCCTGAATCAGGATACCACCATTGGTTATTAAAACCAGCTTCAGAACCTGCATAAAACGCCTGTGGTGCAGAAGATCTAGGAAGTGCACTACCTCTGGGAAGAGAATATCCAAATTGAGCTGGAAACATAGGGCGTGATTGCATAAGGAAGGGATTATACTGAGCTCTTGGAGGTGGATATGCAGCACCACTGGAATTAGAGTAACGATAGTAGCAGATAGACGCGTCATGTCCAGATTTGTGACAAATCTGACATTGCGTTTTTCCAAAACGACCTCCACCGCGTCCATAGCGGCCACCACCACGACCGGAACAACCTCCACGAGACCCATAAGTGTGATTATCAGCGTTGGCGCGTATGACTCGTACCTTGAGGGAAAGCGTCTGCCAATGCTGGTTGATCAGAGGTAATCGGCAAAGACGACGGTGCTGCCTGAGTTAGATTCACCGTTGCCGATTCAGTAACCACAGCCTTACGATGCTTCTCAAGACGCGATTCATGCGCTAACAGCGACAACTCCAACTCATCCAAGGAACTTAATTCGTCTTTGTTGTTAACGGCAACAACAATCGGATCGTAATCTTCAGGCAAAGAATCAAGAACGATCTCGATTAGGTTACGTAACGGTACCGGATCCCCAATTGAAATCAGTGATTCACTGATTTTGCGTGTACGCGCGATGAGTTCCGTAATCGTGAGAGTACCTTTCGTAGGTTGTCGGAGCTCCGATCGCAGTTGGCGCGCTTTGGTTGTGAGGAGCGTATTGAAGTAGCGATGGATTTCAGTCCATACCTGCCACGAATGTCTGCACTCTACAAGCTTTGGGAGAAGCGAATCTGAGACAGTAGAGAGTAGCTAAGTGCAGATGAGTGCGTCTTGTTGTTCCCACTCCAGGTACGCAGAATTCGCACCGTGTGGTGTCGTATCAGAATCGGACGGTGATCTCTGAGGAATCACCGGAACAGTAACAAACCGTTGTAGGCGATGACCGCGTACAACTCCGTCAATTTGTTGCTTCCATTGCTTGAAGTTCCTATCATCAAGCTTTACAGAGATCAAGTGAGAAAGCTTCACTTGCGAAGACAGAAACAAGGACTCCATGGATCGAAAAATTAAGCTCTAGATACCATGATAGAGTTTGATAATGAAGAGAGGAGAGAAAATAGTTTGATAAGTCTCATTATATTCACTATATTAAGAAGATACAGGAAGCTCTCTATATATAGAGAGACTTAGATCTACAAACCAAAGCTGCTATAATAGAATTATGACAGCTCAGCATATATTGCTAACAGAATATTAGAACGGAAATATAAACTAACTGACTAACTATATAATAACTCTATTACCTCCAACATCATAATAACATAAGTAATCAAATAAATAACATGTCATACATTGTCTTGCTTGTGCATGAAATTCGAAAACCTTCCCCACTCATTCTTGTCACGTGTAGACTTTGGAGCAGGTGCTACTGAAAACTGTGGCAAAGCAGAAATATCCGATATCTTTCTCCTTGAAACAAATGAATCTATATTCAACTCTCTTGGCCTGCAAAAAAAAGGTAGGTCAACATATTCATTAGTAAATAGATCACACTAAAAAACTGGTTAGTCTCAACATAAACTACTTTTAATAACATAAAAGGTTCTCCAGTAAGTATACAATCCATATAAGTCAGCCGGTGGATGAGGACACTCTATGTCACATATAACTTTCCAATCTTTTTTAAGAGTAATGGTCATGCTCATCTGCATAAGTTCAGTAAAATAGAAATTAGATTTACTACAAAAACCTCTACAAAAAATGATCAGAAAGCTAAGCTAAGCTTGTAAATGTATTCTTCTTCCCAACAACAAAGATAAAGATGATAATATTAGAGTAAATAGAATAGGAGTATAATAGCTGCTTGTTACAATGTGTAACTAATTATGTAACCGAATATGTTGAGTCAGCACAGTCTATCTGAACTATATAAGTTCTCTCTGTAACTAACTTCAGATTTGGTATCAAGAGCTTAAGTTCAGTTACAATGAAAACAAACTCTCTCACTATCTTCTTCTCTTTCTCTCTTTCTATCGTGGTATCAAGAGCTTAAGTTTGATCCTTTTCCATGACGTATGAAGAAACCTCTACCAACACTCTGTGTGCATCATCTTCATCCCTAACCTCCAACACGGAAAATATTTTCAAAACCTTTGCTCAACATGTCGCGCTGAAGCTTGATGAGAACAATTTTCGCTCGTGAAAGCAACAAATCAAAGGAATAATTCGAACTCATAAACTTCATCGCTTACTTGTGAATCTTGTTGTACCTCCACGTTATCTCATAGAAGAAGATCGGAGCAATGATGCAGAGAATCCTGCATACGTAACTGGGAGCAGCAAGAGTCGTTGTTATTCACCTGGTTCCTCACGACGCTCTCAGATGTTGTTTTTCCTCTGTTGTCAAATGTGTGCATTCACATCAAGTCTAGGATGAGATCCACAAGTACATATTCGCACATACGAACGCGAAATCACACTAATTGTGCTCTGAATTGAAGTCCATCACAAAAGGTGAGAAATTCGTTGCTGATTACCTTGCGTGAATTAAACGGATTGTTGATATCTTTTAATCAAATGATGATTTGATTTCACATTGTAATCAACTGGAAGCTATCTTAGATGGCTTACCTGATGAATTTAATGCTTTAGCCTCTACTATCTAGTATCGCACCACTCTGTGCCCAATCATTGAAGCTGAATCAGTACTTTTGTCTCATGAGGCAAAACTGGAACTTGCAAAGAAGTCTATCCTCACTGAACCTTTATCCATCAATGTAGCACGGGCTTGAAACTCCATCCTCAATGTTAACACTGCACCTTCATTCGAATCTGTACCTCAGTTCAATGGAAATCGTGCATTCAAAGGTTGCAGAGGTTTCAATCGTGGCATAGGAGGCAGGTTTGGAGGTCGTTTTAAAGTTCATTGTCAAATATGCTACAAAACAGGGAATGGTGCTAGTGTGTGTTATCACAAGCATTCAACTATGATGCCTACTCCAAATCAGTGGAGCTACTCAGATCAAAATCAGGGGAATAATCCAGCTCAAAGTCAATGGCAAAAACTTCCATCACCAAATCGGAATCAGTGGACAAACACATCAACTCAGCAAAGCTCTTATCAAATCAATGGATCACACATGCCTCGCGTGGACCTCCAACAGGGTTTTCACCAAGGTCAACACATCAACCTTAGGCGTTTCTCACTGGACGGGGAATGAAACAAGTAGCATCTTCACAGCTAACAGTCAGAGCTGGTATCCTGACTCAAGTGCCACGCGTCATGTGACAAACAATGCTGACTATCTTTCAAAGAGCTTGTCTCTTCCTGGTACAGATTAAATTCTCCTTGGAAATGGCCAGAGTTTGCCAATTCTCTCTATTGGATCTGCTCAGTTCAGTTCTCCACACAAGGCACACACTACACTCACGCTTAACAATTTATTGTTGGTGTCTGCTATCACAAAAAATATAATCTCTGTAAGTAAGTTTGCCATGGACAACAATGTGTTCTTTGAGTTCCACTGTGACAAATGTCTTGTCAAATCACATGCCTCTTTTGAAGTTGTTCTTCAATGCACAGTGAATAAAGATGGTTTGTACTCCTTTGGCTCCCTTCCAGCCACTCCTACCTCAAGTGCAACCATCAACACTCTCACAAGACAGTTTTTACCTAATAAGGCTTCTACCTTAGAGTCTTCCTTATATACTATGTGGCATAATAGGCTAGGGCATCCTCACCATGAGGTTCTCAAAACAATTTTAAATTTGTGCAATGTTAACTTTCCACACAAATCAACTTTGGATTTATGTAGTCCATGTTATTTGTGAAAAGTCTACAAATTACCTAGTAGTTTATCAAACTCTACTATTCAACACCAAAGGCATAGCACACAGGCTTGCTTGCCCACACACACCACCAGAATGGCTCAGTTGAGCACAAACATAGGCATGTTGTTGAAACTGACCTAACTTTACTTGCTCGAACAAGTTTACCCTTGAAGTTCTGGGATCATGCTTGCATGACTGCCACCTATCTTATCAACACAATGCCCACCCCTTTACTAGACATAAAGCCTCCCTATTTCATGCGGTATCAAAAAGTTCCAAATTACAAGTCTTTCAAGGCCTTTGGGTGTGCCTACTACCTTCATCGCAGACCTTATTCCTCTCTTAAATTCAACTTTCACTCACAAGAATGTGTTTATAGGGTACTCATCTCATCACAAGGGCTACAAATGTCTAGCAGCCAATGGCCGAATTTACATCTCCAAAAATGTATTGTTCAATAAAATTAGATTCTCTTATCAAACTATCACCACTATCTCAGCCACATCCAACAAACCTACTCCTATCACACACTCTTAATTTTCCCTCCTACACAAATATATATCCCACGAGTTCCTTCACCTCTCTCTACCACCATCAACCCTCCTAGTACTTCCACTATTTCACCACCTCAACCCACTTCCTCAATCAGTCCTGACACAACCATAAATAACACCAATCCTGTCCCACATGGTTTCTAAAAACTGTTCCCGACTGCGAAAACGGCCGCAACAAAACAGTTTCTACGGATGCCGATATCGATACCATTATCACCGTTTTTATATTAAAGAATAAATTAGGGTTAATTCACACTGCGACCGAACCCAATAATTATCGCGACGGCACTGGCCGAAATCGTGAAAGCCTTTACATGCAAATAACACTCATGCTTCAGCCAGAAGAAAATGTAGTCAATCATAATGGAGGAAAACACACAAAAAATTATGAAAAGAACGAAAATAAAAAATTTATCAAACTTCCATAGTTGATTATGCGAATCGCAATGCCGTGATTAATAGTAATAATTAACTTTAAAAAAAAAAAAAAAACAGCGATGATAATAGTAACGTTCAAAATCGAGAATGAAGAGAGAAAAACCTAGTGGAGTAAAGTGTGGGAGTGAGAAAGCTACGACGTTTGGGGAAACCTTGAAGACTACGGAAACGAAAGAGTTTGTTACAGTGACTCAGTGAGTGGGACTGAGCGAACTAGCGCGTGACCGAGAGGGAACGAAATAGTGCAACGTAAAATGCGGACGCTACTACACGGTTACTAATATGTCGTTTCCTCTGCTGTGATTCAAGGTCACTTCAAATTCTTAAATAGAGAGAAAATGCTTCACTTACCCTCACTTTTTAACCTCCTCTAATCATGTGCAAAAATCTGTTTAATTTAATTGGTTAGATACTTAATTCAAAAGTTATGATTAATTCATTAAATTAATTGTGAATTAAATTGAATATATCTTTTTTTCTACCCTATGTAAGAAAAAATGAAAAAGACAGTATATTTAATATATTTTGTATTTAATTTTATATTGGAAAAGATGTATTTTGAGAAAAAATATTTAAATAAAATTAAAATGATTTTTTTTGCTTATAAATTATAATAAATAAAAAGTGTGAGTTATTTTGCTTATAAACGGTTACGGAAAGAATACATAGTTGATCCAATATTACTATAAATAAATATCAACACATTTATATTTAACAAAATCAATTAGACTTTAACCAAGATATGGGTTATAGTAGTAACGAAATTTCTGCTACGATGATATTTGAGAAATACTGTCATAGAGGATTTAAACTATATATATATATATATATATATATATATATATATATATATATATATATATATATATATATATATATATATATATATATATATATATATATATATATATATATATATATATATATATATATATATATATATATATATATATATATATATATATATATATATATATATATATATATATATATATATATATATATATATATGTCAGCTTTCAATTTTTGTTATTTAAAAAATGTTGCTAAACAAATTGAAAGGGTGTCCAAGGATCAAATTTCCAATTTTTTTTTTATATTTTCATTTTTTTTTATTTTGAAATATATTAAAACTTTTGGTAGTGTAAAAAAAAGCTTTTTATGCTGAAAAATGAAATATCGGATTTCATAAAATTTGATATTTTTTTGGAAATTTCCAATAAAATATATGTTTTTTAAAATTTGATAATTACTCACAAAGATATAATAGTGAAAATATATATATATATATATATATATATATATATATATATATATATATATATATATATATATATATATATATATATATATATATATATATATATATATATATATATATAATAGAGGTGACATGTTGAATTCTCATGTTTATTTACGACCTTTGAATTAATAAAATTAATTCTCTTAAAACTAGAGTGCAAAAAGAAAAAAAATTAATAAATCGATTAGACTTTTTAATTTGAAAAAAATATTTAGACATTAAAAATTTGATACCAAATATTTTTTTATTCTATTTTTAACATACATATAATAAATGTAGAAGTAAAAGAGTCTATTTAAGTATGTGGTTGTTTATAGAGAATTGGCGAAACTCACTAAACACAAACCAAATTAGTGGATAATTGCAAATTGGAATCTGAATAGTCTCTATAATATCAAACTTTTTTTTTACTGAAATCTAATAAAAAAACAATACATCATGTGATTTTTTGGACACTAGTGTGTAATATCTGATTCACAGTAGGATAAATTACAATTTTGATAAATATATTTCTTTATTAAGATAGATATTGACAATCAATTTTTTTATTTATCGTAAGTTTTTAGATCAAAGGGACAGA